CCCCAAAACCCCAAAACCCCAAAACCCCAAAACCCCAAAACCCCTGTAATGGGATCGAAATTGATAAAAATTATTGATTAGGGTTCACCCATTCGCAAGTGGTCAGATTTACAGGAGACCAGAACCTTTTCAAAGTATCTTTCTGCTTCTTGTCGATATTTTCAAGAGAAATCTTCAGTTTGACCTTCTTCTCCTGCTTTATTCTGGTCTTGAGGAAATCTTTAGTGGGAGGTTTTATCAGAGGTAGAACTGCTTTGAAGCCTGTATTTTAGAGGAAAATATACCTGCAGCAACTAACTCTTTACCTTCAGGGATGTTAAGCCTCTTTGAGCGCTCTTCGTTGATGCAGAAATTAGATATATAGCTTGTAGACAGCATATTCTGCTTCATATTAGCCGTATTTGGCTGTTTAAATTTGAGATTAAACTTAGCAAAGGTCTTTCCATGATTTTCAGTGATTTCTTTAAGGTTTATCAAAGTAGGAATGGCACTCTTATTCTTAAATATTTCCCTATTATTCTTAAAATTTCTTCTAGTATTGTACAGTGTCTTTGAAGTAAAGGGTGAGTTAGGTGCGTCTTTCATCACATTACAAGACCAGAATGATTTAGTTTTATTCTTTATCTTCCCTTCACGATTATTTCTGCTGAGCCTCCCTATAAGGATAGAATTATTAAGAATATTTGAGAAATGCTTACCATTTAAAACTTTACTCTTAGTACATAACTTGCTAATCAACGTCTTAGATTTCATATCAAGGGGCTGAGTAGCTTTCATGCCTGGAGAAAGTAGTCTGAGCCTAAACTTAGTATGCTCACTGAATAATCTTTGCTCCTTTCAAATTTTCTTTGGTGATTGCTACAAACAATTAGGAGGAAGAATAAATATAGAAGTAGGAGAAATGAGATCTAAGAGCACAAACCTTGCTCCTCTTCATAAGGTATGTCTGTTTCTCTTTGATAAATTTCTTTGCATCAATTCTTTCTCTATTGTTCTATATTTTCTTAATTTTCCTCTACCTCGGCAATTCTACGAGTGATATTTTTCTGAAAGTTGAAGTTTTTAGCCATGTTAGGTGGAGTGAAGGCTACTTTTACAGTGCGGTCATCATCAGTATAGCCATGGTTTTCTAAAATTTCAATTATGAATTCACAGGCAAGGAAGAGAGCTTGACTTACCATTTGAGATACTTCCAAAAGATTCATTTACATAATTCTCCAACCCTATCTATATTGATGTAAGATAGTTAGAAACTTCTAACAAACTAATAGCTTGGGTACCTAGAATGAAATAAGCTTAGAGGCTTAACAAAATGGAAATTTTATAAGAAAGTAGATCTAACACTGATATGAGGTAGCCCAATGAAATCAATTTTTTATCCTCTAACAGAAATTTGCTACATTAATACTTTAAATATCTTTGTTTTTTCATCATAAATACACCATTAAGCTTCTTTGAAAAGTGTTCATGGAACTTCAAAGATTATAGGATTTTTACATCAAAAATTGAAACCTAGACTCTAGATCTCAAATTCATTTCAAACTACACAAAATTTAAAAATCCAAAAGCCAGTGGGTACTTTGACTGACATACTTTTTCAAAATTTCTTTGTATTCACTCTGACTCCATCTTTGCCTACGACAAACATCAAAACTTAAATCCTACCACTATCATGCCATTAATACTCTTATTTATCAAGTATTAATGTATCATGCTGATTTGGAGGAGAAGTTTTCTCCATTATATTTGAAACATTTTTAGTAACAAACCTAGACATTCTGGACTTCTTCCCATGGCTCTTAACAGGTGATCCGAGTTGGTTCGTCGACATACTAAAAGAAGACTCTGAATATCTGGACACATCAGCTTCGTTATCTATCTGGTTCCCCTCATGAATAAACTTGGACTTCTTATTTTGAATGTTAAGCCATTTATTAATAAGCATCTGAGGTACACCGATATGCTTTGTTTTCTACAGATTTTATAGTAAATTACATCTAATTTATCATTATCTTTCCTTTCTTCTTCCATAATCACATCCTTACTGCAGTCTAAAGAAATTTATAAGGAGAATATTTAATTTCGGCCATATTTAGCAAGGATAGGAACTGTAGATATAGAACAGGTTTTACATTGGATCAAAATCTCACAGAATCTTACCAAGTGCTACTCTTTCCTCCTCTTGCATCCTACAAAGCGGTCAAATATTTCAAAGTAAATATCCAAAGCCCATTTTATGCAGTTTTGATATGAAATTACCTGGAATTCAATAAATTTATAACCAGCAGGGGTTTTGGGGTTTTGGGGTTTTGGGGG